CTGTAGATGTGGCCCAGTGTGACGTGTTGTGCTGTCCTTTCATCAGACTTGGCCATTTTCTCTTTTGTCGTTTCCATAGGTCCCCGCAGGGTGTCAGGTGCTCGCAGGCAGAGACGGGCCTGTCTGGGCCACAGAGCCTCCTTGTCCACCACAGCACAGTGGCACCGGCCCTGTGTTGTCAGCTGGGCCAGGCCTCCCGGCTGGGAGCTGCTGACACAGCTGAGCATCCAGATATCACCTGTGCTCATGACCAGCTGAGCAGACACAGGCCTCACCTGCGGACAGCAGCCCTCCACGTCACGTGACGGTCTCTGAGGCGGTCACAGCTTTATCTCTGCTGTGCCTGCCCTGCCGACCGTGGGCGGAGGCTCCAGTCACCGCGCTGCCTCTGTCTCTGAGATGCCTCTCTAGAGCAAACCTCCATTTCCTAGGACCTTCTCTCAACTATTTTAAAAAAGTCCAAACCTTGTAATTCTTCCTCTCTGACACTCTTGACCTTGGAGGCCCCGTGGTTCCCCATGCTCCGTGTCCTCTCCCGATCACAAGTGCGAAACTTAGTTCAGACACAGCAGGTTTCCTGTGGTGATGGCTGAGGGCCCCCTTATAGCCTGGTGCCTCACAGTGGCTCCAAGTGAGAACCCAGCATTGCCTCTGTCCTGCATGTGACCGTCCCCACCATGACTTTCTTCACCCTCAGTATCTCAAGATCCCCTCCATGTCCCACTCACTGTCAGCCTAACCCCAATGCACACTGTCCCTGGGGAGCTCTGCGACCTGCCCCACAGGTGTTTCCAAGCATGACCTCTGCTCCTAATGAGGGGAGAACATGGCTGCTCACCTGGGGGATGATCTCCATCTCCTCTGAGCCAGACACGGTGAAGAGGGAGCCCACATAGAGTGGGGCCTGTGGGGGAGGCTTGTGTATTTGCACAAACTGGAACTTCTTTTCTTCATCATCTATGGCCTAAGGGGCAAACAGAACAATGGTCAAGGGTGACTCAGAGACTCTTCTCATTGTTCTGCATATGGTCTGAGGACAAGAGCAGATGCTCCTGTGTGTGGGTGGAGTGTCTATCCCACCCTGCCTTCCACACCCCATCCCTGCACACAGGGAGTCCACACTCCTCTGCTGTGTTTATGGAGTCAGGTCATTGTGGAGAAGGGAGAGAGTTGGGCAAGGTGACAGCTCTGGGCACAGAGTCCTCCCATCTTATGACACCCAGAAGGGTTGCCCGGAGTTCAGGGATGGAGCACCAACCCCATCTGGGGAGACCTTATGGGTCAGGACACTAGTGTGTGGCTGAGCAGGATGACCCACCCATTCCAGGCTCCTACTTGGTAGCGACCCACTCTTATTCCCAGTGGGCCCAACGTGAGGCTTTTCTGGGTGACCTGGTGTCTGAATCATGATCTGGTCTTTCTGGTCTGAGTCTCACCTTCCGAATGGAGCAGTCATTGGGGACCAGGTAGAGGTGGAAGTTGATTTCGCTAGGACGGAGGTGATGGTAAAGCATCACGGTGGAGGTGATGGGAATGATTTTCCTGGTAACTGGAAATATTCTCAGTACAACCCCCATGGGGGAGAAGCTGGGGTTCTCCAGGACTGTGTAACACGCCTCTACCCTGGCTGGCTCCTCCAGCAGCGTCCCCTCCTCTTTGAAGTGGGCCACGTGGAACTGGGAGGGGTCCACGTGGTCTCCTATCAAGGCAAGGATGTGAGAGGTGAGGATTGCTGCCCTCCCTGATGCAGGCTTGGCAGAGGAGGGTGTCCCAGCATGCAGGCCTCTGTGTGGGCCATTGGGGAGGCAGCTTGCCTGGAACTGGGGTCTTTGGGAGCTGAGCGCAAGCCCATTCCGGGTAGAGCAGCACAAGAAATCCCTGGAGAGACAGTCACGCCTGGGATAAAAGTTACTGAGAATGCTGAAGGAGATCCGGTCCCTGGTGACATGTGCTGGGGCAATCTGTGTCTTGGGGATTCTGCGTGATGCTGCTAGGTTTCACTCCTGACAGGCGGAACAAGGAGGACACGAGGACAATTGGGAAATGGAATGACCCAGGACTGTGTACATTTCAAACTTCTATTTTCTTTTTTAAAAGATATTTATGCACACAAGAACTGGGGTACAGGAAAGAGTTGTAGGTAGTGAGAGGATTCACCAGAGACAGAGTGGGGAGCAGAACAGGCATATTGAAATACACTACTGAGGGGAGCAGTGGGAGGGTCACGAGCAGTCTACTGTGTCATGTGGGTCACTTCCCTGGCTGGGGCTTGAACTTATGCTACAGTGACTGTGATAGCTTCATAGTGCTGAACTTTAATCCATATGCCACCAGGGAGGGCTTCAACTCTTATTTGGGGACGGAACCCCTTCCTCTGTCCTTCACCATTATGTGGTTCCCAGCAGGAGTGTAGTTGTATCTCTTACAGGGAAGCTCTCCTCCCTGGCATTTGTGACACAGGTGTGTGAAAGCTTGAGTAGTGGATGCTGCTAACTGGGACCTTGCGGGGTGAAGCACAGATGAAGACAGAGATGGTTTTGGCATCAGCAGTGGAGGAGTCCGTGACCCCCCATGGAAGGACAGTCCTGCATAGCTGTTTCTGCAGTAGAGGACTGAATAATTTTGTTGGAGTGACCTTGTTTGTGTTCTTGGCTTGTCACCACTCTTTCTTACCATCAAGGCCCCCAGGCTTCCATAAAAAGCTTATTGCATAACATTTTGTTAAATCTGGCGGCTATATATTCTTTTCTGCTTATATCAACCAGAATTGATTTGATTGCAAGAGCTCTGACCAGGTGAGGAGGGGATGCCACAGAGAGAGGTCCCATTTCTTTCTTTGGCAACTTAATTTCTCTCTTTATTTTAAATTCCCTCTTGTTATTCCCGTTGTTTAAGCCAGTAAACATTTTGCTATATATTTCTCAGATTTCTTGGTGGCGACTCTGTCTTGCCACACTTACCTCCCTGTGGGCTTATCTCCTTTTGTCTGAGAACATTCTTCAGAATTTTCCTCAGTTAGGATTCATTTATGAAAGATGCCTCTTTAAAAAACATCTGTTTTGTCTGCTTCTTATAAAGTCTGCCCTTAATTCTTGATGACTGTTATTTCTTAGCACAATGATGGTATTTCATTGTCTTCTGCCTTCCGTTGCTGCTATTTAAAAATCAGCTCTCAGTACAATTGTGTACCTGCTAGGTAATTTCTGGCTGCTGTCAGCTTTCTTAGATTTGATATTCTTTAGTATCAATATAATGTGTGTATTAGTGACATCTCTCTCACTCTTGTTATTCTCTTTTCTCATTCTAACACGTCCCATTTTTCTAGAATTTTAGAAATTTACTCGGGTATTACATCTTCTCCATTTTTCTTTATATCTTTCTGGAATTCCCATCAGTATGTTAGGTATTTTTATGATACCCTTGTTATAGTTCATTTTCTATTTTATGGTTTGTCAGCTTTTCTGTCAATTTAGTTTATTTAAAATTTCGGTTATCAATTTTCAATGGTTAGTGCTTCTTTTTCATACTTTAAAGGCCAGTTATTCAATTATTTGAAATCTTTACTATTCGTTACATTTCTAGGAATTTCAGGGTCTAAAATCTCTATGGGGCTGATTCTAGTCTCTACAGTTCTCACTAGTTCCCACTTGTGGAGTTTTGTTTACTGAACAAGAAATAGTTAACGCTGAGCATATACTTTTTGGAACTGTATCTGTGCGAAGTCTTTGTAGGTAAGAAAGTTGGGATAACAGTGCTACCCACTGTAAGAACTTGTACTGGGAAGGCCCTCTTTCACGGCTCAGATCTCAATGTACTCTGGTGGCATGGTTTTTCTCTCAGCCTGCGGGAGTAGTAATGACCTTCCATGGTTGCTTGTCACTAGTCGCCCTAACACATAGTCTTACTTCACGAATAGTCTAGTCTTTGAAATTTTCTTTAAAAATCTCAACATTTTTTCCTGTCACAATCTGTGTAAAAGCAATACTAGGTGTCATTTTTATTGTGGAGACTAATTCTATTTAAGAAAAATTTCAAGTAATTATATGACTTTGGGAGCAAAAATGTTTCAAAAAAGATGGGCCAGAGCAGAGTGGAATGAGGAAAAGTCTGTCTTCACTCTCATCACCCTCTCGCCCCTCTAAGGAAGCCACCAGCTGCTTCCCCAGGGCTTCCCAATCAGAAGCCCCTTGCAGGCCATTATCATCCCCATCAGCGACCTCCACCCTCCCTCTGCCTACCTTGGAGGGACACGAAGTGAGGCAGGTACACAGCTGCCACAGCTCCTGGGTCCGCCTTGATGTCAAACAGCGGTCCTGCCACCATCCAGGTGTCCCGGGGGACAATCGTGTCCAGGAATGGGTCCCAGGCACAGAATTCAATCTCGACGGTCACTGCCCTTCTCACCACAAAGTGGAGACCCGTGTTGGGCCAGTGGTAGGAGCCGGCCGTGGGGAGGTGAGCTCTGGAAGGAGGAGGAGAGGTAGACCCTGACTCACTCTGCACAGATTCACGAGCCCCGCTGCTGCCAGATTCCGTGAGGGCACAGAGATGCGGCAGAGGCCTGCCTGCGAGCAGAGGGGAGCGCGAGCCTGGGGTTCCTCTGCGCGGGACAGTGACTCCACGAGCAAGTCATCAACTTCTCTGCTCAGATTCTCGTCTGTCATCAGTGCCTACGTGGAGTTGCGAGTAATGAGTAACAGAGGCTGGGACGCCTTAGTCTCTGCCTGGAGTGGCTGGCTGTTTCTCCTTGATGATAATGATGCTGAAATAGGAAGGTGTTCTTGTTTTTAAGGGGATTACTTGCCAAAAAGAAGAAGAGAAAGAAAATCTGCATGCTAATATCAGCGATAAACACTTAAGGCTGAAAAATTTTATTGGGCTTCTACATGTGGCATATGGTGGGATCCCAGGGTGTCAAATTCTGTAGGGTTAGTTGGGAATGACATTAGCCCCCAGCTGAGCCAAATCAGTGCCACTGACTTGACATTTGCCAAGGGCAGTGTGTTTGTGGGAGACCTTGAACATGACAATAGATATTTATTACTCACGTCTGGAGACCCTCAAAGGACAGGACTGGTTTTCCCCTCTGGGTTCCCAGTTACTAGTGTGGTAGTGAGACTAGAGGATATTATTAAAATAGGAGCATGCAGTGAAAATATAGTAAGTGAGATTCAATAGCCATAACTAATCGGAATATGTTTGCATTGGATCCTCTTGAAGAAACCACTTGCAGGACAGACTATAGACAAATGAATACATTCAAAGGTATACTGGCTGTCAATTACATGGTGGCTTATTGGAACTTTGTTGGGTGTGGAAGTGGCCATGTGGCTTGGGACAAAAAGTATTTTATTTGTATTTTTAAAAAGTGCATCACAAACTATTTAAGAATAAAAACCACCTGCTATCTTAGATTTAAATTACTGTATAACCACAAGAAACGGGGGCAAGTCAACAGTTGAAACAAATTTGACAAATCAGTGGTGGAAGCTGGGTTATGGGCAAAGGTCACAGTCCATTCTATACTCAAGTTTTGTTTAGAAATTTTTATAGGAAACTTGTTATTGCATAATACAAGTAATCATCTGCTTTCCAGCCTATTGCTTTTCTGGGGGCTTGTTGGTGATTCCTTGGGAAAGATGGGGCCCCAGTGTGGGGTCACAGAGGCCAGGCAGACACGGGAGCACCCTCACTCCCTCACTCACCGGTACAGGCTCCTTTCCTGGTCAACCACCTCGACAGCCGTATGTCCTGTGGGGCCCCACAACTCATCTGTGGTCGTCAGAGGCTCCATGTGGGGACCCCCCACAGGGGAGGGGGGAGACCGACAGACGGGTTCCACTCCAGCCACTTCCTGGGGGCTTCCTGCTGGAAGCGGCAGGGCGGTGGTCAGTCCTGGGACCTGCCCGCTGTCCTGTAGCCCCGACCTGGAGCGGGGAGGCCCCACCCAACCCTGGTGGCTGCACAGGCAGGGGGTGCGGTGCAGACTCCACTCCAGCTCCCGGGGCGCCTGCTGAGGAACCCCGCCAGCGCCCTCTGACCCAGCCCTGCCCACTCTCCCCTTCCCCTGGGCCCCAGAGCCGACTCCTCAACATGCTCCAGGCTGGCGGCTTATACATGAATAAGGGGACAGGAAAGAGAATCCAAGACCTCATATCCAGAGTGGTCCTGGGGGGTCGGGTCCCAGGTGAGAGCCTGAGACGTGACAGGTGCTTAGGAGAGGAGCTTCTCGCAAGCTGGGGGAGATGGGAGCAGAAACCACCTGGTGGACGCACTGGACGATCTTGTGACTGGCAGGGCTCTCAAGGTGAGTGTCCTGTCCTGCCCCACGTGGAAAGGGGGTGGACCCACTGCTGCCCCCCTCCCACCCGGCCAGGCCCCCTCAGTCTACCTGGTTCTGGTGCCGGCTGCCCGAGGGAGGCAGTGTGATCACTCGTCTCTCCTCCTCTGGGGCCCTCATCAGTGGCCGTCACACTTGGATTCAAAGACACAGAGTTGTTCAGTCTCTGGGGTCTGGATGAACTGGACTGTCTCCAACACCCCCACATCATTCACTCATCCACATTTGAGCCCCTCCTGTCTCCTGTCCTCCATGACTCTATGAATACCTCCTCCACAAACCCAACTATCCTCACCAAAACTGGGGTGTCATCTGACTCCTCCCTCATACTCTTCTTGGTATCCCCTTCTCTCACCTGATGGCCTCTACCCCTTCTCTCACCTGATGGCCTCCACCCTCGTCCCAGAGCCCGGCAGCTCTCGAGAACCCTTGCAGGGTTACTTGCTCTGTCCCTCTCAGTCCATTGTCCACATAGCTGCTGACCCTAGAGATGAGCCTGGCCCATGTCATCACTGGTGAAGCTCTGAGCTATTTCTCCATTGTTTGGGGTGATAATGAAGTTTTTACTATGAACCAAGGGACCTTACTGTGCTTCTGCTTCCCTCACCTGTGCGGTCTTCCTGCTCACCCACCTGTAGACGTGGTTGTCAGACTCTTCAAAAATCTCCTGGAGGCTGGGAACCAAGATCCCTTGGCTGCCCAAGGATCCGATCAGCAGGTCTGCAGTGGGGTCCAGCGTTGGAGACCAGCTCCAACTTTTGAGGTGTCTGGAAGTAACACAGGCAGGATCCCAAGATGGGAAGGCGTCGGCGAGCAGAGATTCCAGAAAGGGGGGAGAGGAGCGGGCATGAGGAAGACAGGGGTGTCAGGGTTGGGTGCAAGTCTTCCTGCCAATCCTTCAGCAGGTCTTTATTTATACTGTGCAGCAAGTAGTTAATTGTAACAGTGCATAGGGTAAGTTAATGAGATATCACCATAAACCATTCTCAAGGACAAGGGGAAAAAGCATTTTTCTCTTAACAATTTATGGTATATTCGATTATACATTTTGTGATAGTTATCATGTATACAACTGTCTAGTTATCACTCAAAGGAAGAGGGGTTGGGGAAAGGGTGAGCTTGTTAGCAAAAGGTTGTTAGGGGCCTTGGGGTAGTAATAAATTGTGTTAGCAGTGTTATCAGTGATTGTCTAAAGAAAAGCTAATGGCAAATTTAAGGCTAGCAGAGAGTAGTTAGTGCTCGTTTTAAAAAGGAGTAAATTAAGAGAAAGTTGTACAGTTGTGTATCAAACAACACCTGTGTAGTCAAGGTTAAAATTTGTCAATGAGTCCTTATACCCTGAAAGCCTTATCTGAGGTTTGCTTTTTTATTCAAAGAAACCAAGGAAGCTTCCCAGGAGTTTTTATGCCCTGGGATCTTATCACTCTTTGGGCTTGCCTTCTGTCTCAGGAGACAGAGGAATTTCTCCTCCTGGGGCAGCTTGCCTGAACCAGGCAGCCCGCCTGTGTGGCTAAGACAATCCAGTTGTAAACAGATGGTTGCTCAGAATATTTTGATATTATGATTATACAAAAAAGGGAGGTCATAACATAAGTTAGCAGTGGACATTCTGATTTTTCAGGGCTTTTCCCGATCTACCCAGAATCTGTGAGACGATAGACATCGCATAGCTTGTGTCAGTCCAGAATTCACCTTCCTAGGCGCTCCCAGGGTTCCGGTGTCCACACAAGGGGTCAGGGAGCAGGCGGGGCTGCTCAGACCCCTGGCTGCCGGTCCCTCACAGGAGCTGAACCCTGAGCCTCTGCTTCTGCCTGGATCACCCTTCTGGGCCCGGCTGACCCTCCTGCTCACCCTCCCGCTCACCTTTCTGCTTATCATCCCACTCACCCTCCGGGCTCTCAGAGCTCCACAGGTCAGGGTCAGAGAGGCCATCCAGGACTCCAGACCCCAAATGCAGCCAGGCAGCCTGGGTTTGTCCTGTCTCTGGCTGGGTTGTGCTCCTGGGGTCCCGCCCTTGCTCCCTGCTGGGCACCTCACACTCTGCGGGCCTCAGGGACTGATAGCTCTGGGATCTATTGATTCCTGGGAATCTGTGGTCCTATATATATTGTTGTTATTTTTAATGCAGTACCATTGTTTTCATCCTCCCAGCCATGGCCCATTGTGCTCTCCCCCCCTCCCCCAATGACTTTGCACCTTCCTCCTCCTCCCCTCTGGAGACCCCAAGGTTTTTTGTTTCCCTGTAGTGGTCACAGCTTTCCATATCCAAGGTCTGCCCCACAGATCGCCTTCTATAGCTCCTTACTCACTTACTAGAAGTGTGTGAGGAGCAGTGAGAGATTCTATTGCCCTAAACAATCAGGCAAACAAACACTCAACAGCCCCCTCTCTGGCTGCACTGGTTTCTCCCAGGCTCTGTTCCCCACCCCCTCACCCCCAAATGTCTCCCCATGTCCTGGGTCTGCACCAGTCTCCAGACTCAGCCCTGGCCCTGGGCCTCAGGAACGTGGCACCTGCCCCTTACCCACTGTCACAGATGTGCAGCTGAGGCTTCTCCTGCTCCAGGGCCCACAGCATCTCTGTCACTTCCTTACTCAGCCGGGCCTGGTCCAGCCTGCAAGCACAAGGGAGATTTTCTGCCGGGACAGCATCTGGGACCTGGCCCAGTACCCTGGCAGGTGCCACCACCACAAGGACCTGCCTCAGCCCAAGGCCCTGGGAACTGGGCTCTTAGGTGGACTGTGATGAGTAGGATTATGAGGTGTTCCTGCGTCAGCACCAGGGCAGGGAAGGAGGAAGCAGGATTGTGCAGAGGGAGAGCTGGGCTGCATGGCATCTCCATGGAGACCTCAGTGGACTGTCCAGGGTTGTGCAGGCAGGATAACCCTTCAGAGCTGCCCAATATGGGAAGAAGAGCTATTTCTACCCCAACACCTGTCAGTGTGTGGATGCAGTGTGTCCTGGAGAAGAGACCCTCACTGACAGGGACTGTCCTGGGCAGGCTGTCAGGGTGCTGCAGTGTCTGGTGTCAGGCTCCCGAGGGGACCCAGGGCCCCGCCTCACAGGGTCCACCACACAGCAGCCATTTTCCCGTGGCCTCTGTGTGGCACCTGAGGGCCCTGGCAGCTCTCTGAGGGTGTGAAAACAGGCCGGGACCCACAGGAAGTACCAGATATAAGCAGCCCCTGGACTTGTTTTCAGGAAGTGGAGAAAGAGGAAGGAATGAGAGTGGGTGTGGGAAGGGTGTCCCCACACGACTCTCTCCCCTGAGCTGCTCCCCCAACTGGCTGGACAGCAGGTGGCATCTGGAGCCACCATCCCCCCAGGAAACCCCCCTGTGCCCCTCATCTGACTCCATCTCTCCACATGTTGCCCTCTCATGATTCACTGCATTTCCCTTCACAACCTCCACGGAGCTGGAAACACACTGTGTGCTCACACGCAGGTAATTCCTGTCCTGTGTCCACTGGGATGAGGTCAGGGGCGGGACCACATCAGTTCACACTGTGTCCTCAGTGGCTTGGCACATGGGGGCATTGATGGGAGGGGAGAGGGAGGCCAGAGTGCAAGGCCCATGCCTCGGTAGCTGGAGGAGAGGAGAGGAAGCCAGCTGGCCACACATGCAGCTGTGCCTTTCTCCCCTGCCCAGTGCCATGGCGTCTGGCTCCTTTCCACTGCTCCTCCCACCCCTGCCCTGAAGGCCCAGGTCTTACCCCAGGAGCCTGAGCGGACAGGCTGGCTGCCTGAGCCCGTCACAGAGCAGCCTCACGCCCTGGTCGCCCAGGTTGTTCTGCTGCAGGTGCAGCTCCGTCAGGCAGGGGCTGGTGCTGAGCGCGGAGGCCAGGGCCTGGCAGCTGCTGGAGGTGAGACCGCAGCGGACCAACCTGTGGGGAGATTCAGAGGGCGCAGCCATTACATTGAAGGGCCTCTCCTTGGGGTAGTGGGGACTGCTTTGGGAGTTCCGAGATGACACTAAGGGAAGACAGAGACGTGCCTGGCGGTAGTGAGCACATTCCTATCCTCCTCCTGCAGCCAGGGCCACTCAGGGTGGCTGAGTACCAGGAATTCAGTCCACTCACCCTACCAAACTTGTAGGTAATGTGTGTACCCAGTGATCCACGTGTATGTCTGGGTCTCTGTTAGCTACAACTGCCCAAATGCCCAGAACCACTGACATGGGACTTTGGGGGTTTTGACCAAAGTGCTTCTATGATAGAAGAGGAAAAAGTGTGAACTTCTAATGTAAGAACTAACGTTGGGGCATGGTGTGGCAGTTATGTTTACACTGAGGGCCTTCAGGGCTCCCATGGGGTATGTTCCCTTTCCTATTTTTTTGGAAGAGTTTGAGAATTCTTCCAATGTTTGGTGGAAATCTATGAAGCCGTTGGGGCTCAAACTCTTTACCGGAAGTTTTGCGTATATTGTCACTGCTTGCTTGTTTGAGGTAGTTGTTGCACCTCCAGCCAGTTCCTTCTCTTTTCCTAAATGACTTGATTTTTAAGATCACTTTAGTTACACAGCAAAGTTGAGCAGGGAGTATGGGAGTTGCCAGTTGGCCCTTGACCTCACATGCACAGCCCTTCATCCTAGACTGTCTGCTAGAGAGGTCCATGTGCGCAGCTGGGGCACCTCCGAGACACCATTACCAGCCAAAGACCACACTTTACCTGAGGGTTCACGTTGGTTGTGAACACTTTATGGATTTTGACAAATAAATAATGACATGGACTCACCATTATAGTGTCAAACAGAAGAGTTTCACTGGCATCAAAACCCAGTCCTAGGCACCCCCCTGTCCTTAGGTCCTGGCAATCCCTGGTGTTTTTACTGTTTCCACAGTTTTGCCTTTTCCAGAATGTCTTACAGTGTCATGGCATATGTAGCCATGTTAGATTGGCTATATGACTCAACGACTCGCATTAAAGTTTCTCTATAGATTGATAATCACTGCTTTTTAATATTGAATGATATTCCACTGTGTGGGTTAACACAATTTACTTCTCCATCCACCCACTGAAGGACATCCAGGTACAGGTTTGTGTGACTAGGCTTTGATTTCAGGGCTTCTCACTGCAGGATATTCTGGTTAGAATATATTGAGTTTTGAAAGAAACTGACTCCCCCCCAAAGTCCTGTGCCATTTTGCATTCCCACAAGCAATGGATGAGAATTGAAATTGCTCCACAGATTCACCAGCAGTTGGAGTTGTCTGTGTCCTGGAGTTTGGCCAGTCTAACAGGAGAGCAGAGGCCACCCGTGCTCCTCATGAATACCGGCTTTTCCCTCTAACACTGCCCTAACGATCTAATGAGGGGGGTGGTGTGCTTTTTTTTTTATTCATCTAAAAGTAACTTCTAGTTCCCCTTGTGATTTCTTTTTCACAACAGCTAATTATTTAGGAGTGTATTGTTCAATATCCGCATATTTATATATTTTCCAAATTTCCTTCTGTTATTGATTTCTAAATTTGTCCCATCATGGTCAGAGAATGTACTTTGTATGGCTTCACTTCCTCAAAATTTGTTGAGAATTGTTTTAGGAGAGAATTTTATCTTTGCACAAGGTTTTATTTGATACTTGCTTGCCTCTCCCCTTTCAGAATGTTCCATCTCAGGGAATGTGACACTACCCCAAGAGTTCCAGTGGTCACCTGAGTTCACCCTCCCTCTCGCTTTCTCCTAAACCAAATCTCTTATTGGGACAGGCTGGTTTTACTTTTACAGACTCTCAAATCCATCCACCTCTTTCCATCTCCATTGTCAACACTATGCCTTTGAGTAACAGAGTTATCTTTAGTCTAAGCTACCATCATCTTTAAAGGAATAACTACTTTTCTTAGCCATACCAAGTATGTTCTCTGACCATGATGGAATGCTTAGAAATCAACAACAGAAGTGACTTTCTTACTAACTCGTTTCTTAGTCTTACTTTTACTCTCTTAGAATCCATTTTTGCATATGGCTGTCTGTTTCTACTTTGAAAATGTATTGCTATTGCCAACTGTAAGCTAAAGAGCTCATTCCACTAGGGAAAAATAGTGAAACTCACAATATGGCCCCCGTCTGGCTTCTACTGATGTCTGTAGTCTCCTCTCGCCTTCTGCAGCCACACTGTCCTGCTTCCAATTCCCTGACTTTCCCTTCTTCCTCCTGCCACTGCAGCTGTTTACATGCTGTTCCCATTTGCCTAGAACTTTCCTTTCTCCAATTCATTTAGGGAAATTCACTGTATTTTTCAGCTCTCCTTCAAATTTTACTTGCTCCAGAAAGTGTTCCACTGAAACCTTGGCTGTATTCTTAGCCTGGTTTCTTGATCGATGTTAGTCTCTTGCAAGCTCTGTGATGAAGGAGTCTTGTCTACATGGGTTTGCCCAGCAGCCTGGCACCCAGCAGAGCACACAGTGAGAAAAAGGCTCAACTAATATTTGTTGACTCCAAAGACCAACCACCCCACCCTACACTCAGCTTCCTTCTTGGAACTCCTGCCCACCTGTGTCAGAGCAGAACCCAGGCGGACTCACCACAGGGTCTTCAGACGGCAGCGGGGGCATCTGAGGGCCTCACAAAGACTCTGCACCCCATAGATGGTCAGGAGGTTTCCACTGAGGTCCAACTCCGTAAGGTTTTCAATGATCCCAGAAATGGAGAAGAGAATCTGCCAGCAGGTATCTGTGATTGCATCAGGCATGTACCTGAGGGAGGGAAAGTGGGACAGGAGAGACATGAGGTATCTGGCTGCCAGAGTTCTCTTCTGGGACATTAGCCTTTGACTCTCCTTTCTGGGTGCATATGAGTGACTGCTCCTTCCCACTGGCCTTGTCACTACTGCAGTGGTCACTCTGTTCTCATTGTTGAATGTCTGTGCCTCCAGTTTTTGAGTTCCTTGAGGATGGGGGTTGCACTTTACTAGTGTGTATCAGTACAACTGACATAAAGTCTCAGTATTAATAAGCATTATGAAAGGATCCTTTTAAGAGGGCAGGTAGATATAGCATTAAATGATCCACATTGTAAAATAAGTGGGGTCCTGGAATGGGGGCCACACCCCCTTGTTGCAGGGATTGGAGTGTGGCTAGAGAAGTGACCCCGTCATGCTGAGAAGGTGATTTGGGGCCTGAGCCCCAGAGGCAATAGTGCACCATTGATACAAACAAGGAAAGCACACCCTCTTCAGGCCCACAGATCCTGGGGTGGTGGGTAGATCTTAGGGTGGTGTCTTTGCTAACAGCCATCAAGGGGAGGACTGTATCTGTTGAGAGAGCAGCTTCTCAGGGAGAAATCAGTGGAGAGAGACACAGAGGCAGCTGGGCTGCCTGAGGGTGTGGGGGATCTCGGGTTTGCAGGGGCTGCAAGTGCACCCGGGGGAGAGGTGGGTGAACAGGAGCAGCAGGAAGAGGCAGAGTCACAGCAGTTCTGTCCTGGAGCAGGCAGGGCAGGCCACAGGCTGCAGAGGCCTGAGTGACAGAGAATGGGGGTCGGATTTGGCAGGTTGAGATCAGGACCTTGGCTCTTAAACACCCGGGGACAGGCTTGGGGGCATTCCTCTCCTGCCCAGCTTGGTGGAGGCAATGAGGTGTGGAAAGAAGAAGGGGGGGTACTCACAAGACCATTCTGGGGTGCTCCCACGCTTGTTTATCTTGTCCAGCCTCATTCAGTTGAAGCCGCTGCACATGGGGGCAGAATTTCATACAGAAAGTGAACACCAGGAACTCCATTTTGGTTTCAACACACATGCTTGTTCCTTGGAAATGGACCATTACTTGTGTCAGGAAATCTTTGTCCTGAATCTCATACAAACAGCGGAACAACTGTAAGGAATATGGCTGGTGGAAGAAATACTGTTGCTGGACCTCCTCCTGGGTCCATTTCAGGAGTTCCTGCTTCCTCTCCCCTGAGAGTGGGCAGCCAAAGATGCTCTCCATCTCTCTCGCCCCCTGCTCACCCAGAAGGCCAAATACAAATTGCGTGGTTGGTGCTCCGAAGACATCATGCCTGCAGTATTTTAGTAGCGCCTCTCTTATACCTAAAGAGCTTTCAGGGTCACCACTTTCCTCCTTACTACAGCCCAGCACACAGGACATGGCGGCCAGGAACTGCTGGAGACACAGGTGAATGAAGCTGTAGCTCTGAGCAGAGGGGGGCTGCTGGGGATCGCCCATCGGCAAGAGAGCGGACTCGATGGCGCCCTCCACACCGTGCTTCTTGAGGTCTTCCACAGTGAAGAGGGTCTTTCTGTGCTGGATGCCCTCAGCAGCCAGAGAGCACAAGCCCCTCAGCTGCGTCCCGAGGGGCTGAGTGGGCAGAGCCTGGGACAAGTACTGCAGACACAGGGCCGTGGTGGTCTGGGGAGTCAGCGAGAGCTCTCGCCCCTGCTCCATCTGCTGCCTCAGGCAGGTGCAGGCCAGCCAGGACACCCAGGGCAGCTGACACAGGGCCCAGAGAACATGGTTTGACTCCACCAAGCTCAGGGCTCTGCTTGCTTGGCCTTCGTCTGTGAAGTATTTGCAGAAATATTCCCTCCTTCCAGACTCAGAGAGCCCCAGCACCTCCACCCATTGTGGGTGCTTCAAAGATGGAATGAATTTCTCTAGAGCGCTGGTTCTAGCGGTGATCAGCAAGGATGCAGTGGGAAACATGGTTTTCCTCAGCAACTGGCTCAGAATTGAGCGTAAAGGCTGCTTCAGGCTCCACTGCAGATGGGTGTCACCCTTTTGCTTCTCTAAGTCCCATTCTGGCTCATCAAGGCCATCGAGGATGAAGAGCAGCTGCTCTGGCTGAGACAAGATGTGGTCAGTGAGAGCCCCAGCGGCAGCCCCATCATCTATGACGAGCTCAGCCAGACACATTGTCTGTGATGGGTTCAGTTCCCTGCAGTTGAAGTAGAAGATGTGCCGGAAGCGGTCCCTGTACAGTTGGCCTTCCAGCCAGGCTCTCCTCAGCTGCCTGGCCAGGGTGGACTTCCCGACTCCAGCATCCCCGTGTAGTATGACTGTGTGAGGCTCTATCTTGGTACCAAAATATGGACGAAATAAGTCTCTGATATTAATATAAAATCCGAGTTCCTTTCCCACTCCATGGTGCCAGCTTTCCCTGACGAGGGACTCAAGACCTCTGGGGTAAGGTCTGTGTTTAAGTACCAGATATTTGTGTTCAGAGTCAAAAACCTCATTTTCCCATGACTGTGGGGTGCAGATCATCTTCGTCATTTGTGTCCGAGAAGTTTCTTTAATCCCTAAGTAAGGATGGAAAAATGAAGGTATAGATTTTTTAATTTATTACTATATTTATTCATTCAATAGTTTTAAGAATCTCTCGAAGTTTAGGCTCCGATCTGCTATCTTGCTGACACTGACCTCATCTAAGTGTTACTTAAGGCTGAAGTTAGGCTGTTGAGAGCATGTAGAAACTACAGTGACACACCTCATCCGAGAAGCACCCTGGTGGCCACTGACAGGTGATGGTTTCCCCTCGTCGAACGCAATCTATTATAAAGTTTGGAAGAGTTTCTGTTCTCCACTCTGTCTCTAGTGAATCCTCTCACTGCCCCCCCCCCCACCTCTGGCTTGCACTCCAGTTCTTGTGTGCATAAATAGATAAATATTTTAAAAATAAAACCCCCAAACAAACAAAAATCCTAAAAGTGGGGAATGTAGCTGGGCACTGAGGCTCAGGACTGTTTTAGGTGGTGCCGCTCCAGGAGGGGGGAGCTGGTGAAAACAAATAATCTCAGAGGTAATGTTAAAAAGCATAGGATTTTGAGGAGAAGCTTCCTTGGAGAGGAAATAGAAGAGAGTGCAGAGAAAGAATGTGTGAGAGAGGAGGTTGTTTGGTCGGGACTATAGGATTCAAGGTTTGAGTTGCTTCAGCATTTTGGGGGGTCAGTGGACTTTCAGCCCTGGACTGGGCTGATCTTGCAGAAGACTGCTTTGAACTCCTGAATGTAGAGGCCTTGAGTAGCCAACCTTGGAGAAGGAGAGGCTTTGCAAGTAGCCAAGCCACTGAAGGTGTTCTGGTTTTGATGTGGTTGCAGCCTGGCCTGAAGGAGTGAGGCCGTTTGTTGGGTCATTTTGGTGGCTGTGGCTGCTGTCCTGAGTGTCCCTTATCTGGTGCTGTGTTGGAATGTCCTGCAGCTCTGGGAGTGTCATTTGTGGTGTCTTCTGTTGTCTTTGTGCGTTGGAACCTGGCCTGGAGTCTGGCTGCTGTGTGCCCCAGGTTGGCAGAGGCAGGAAGACACCATCTTAGACATGTGGCCTATTGTTTCTGAAAGGAGCTGTACAGTGGTGGGATTATGTTATTTTAATGGTTCTTGTGTTGGACATGACTTTTGGTAAAGTGAAAGGGCATTATTGGTTTCAGTAACCCTTGTTTTTCCGGCTTGTTAAATAAATCCTTTTGCAGTCATTTCTTAAGCTGGAACAGTCAGCAATTGTGCATGTGGGTGAAGAAACCAGACAGTATTTGGAAAAGTATTTGGGCAGCGGGGCCTTGGCCAGTTTAGTCTCCTTCCTACCTGATATCAATATGTACTATGTAAGCTTCATTGCAATCACAAAGTAAAAACTTCAGTAGATACACAAAATATAGAGAAAGGAATAAAAAAATACCACTATGGAAAACCATCAAGTCATAACGAAGAAACAAGAAAGAAAGAAAAGAATAAAGGCAACATAAAACAAAACAAACCATTAAGCGGGTGGCAATAGTAAGGCCTTACCTATCAACATAAGGATTTTAAATATAAATGGATCAAGTTCTCCAATCAAAAGGTATAGAGAAGGGGCCTCCCTGGTGGCGCAGTGGGTTAAAGTGCAGCAAGGCAAGCTAGCTGCAGCGCTTCAGTGCGAGTTCTATTCCTGCCCTGGAGGGACCACTCATGGTGCAGCAGACCTCTCCTGCCTTGCCTGCTGCTCCCCTCAGCATGTACTTCGTTGATCTGCCCGTTCTGCTCCCCATTCTGTCTCTGGTGAATCCTCTCACTTCCCAAACCTCTGACCTGTACCCTAGTTCTCTATGCATAAATAATAAATCTTAAAAAGATATAGAGTAGCTGAGTGAATTAAGCAACAACAACAACCGTAAAAGACTTCATTGTATTTTGTGTACAAGAGACTCACTTCAGGTTTAAGGGGCACAAATAGGTTAGAATGAAGAGAAAAATGTTCTAGAAATGAAAGCTAGAAGAGAGAATGACTACATTATGTAAATAAAATAGACTTTGAGTCAAAAATTAACAGGAAACGGAATCTCCCTGGTGGTACAACACATTATAACACCACCTTATGAAGCTCTCTGAAGCCACTGCAGCACAAGTTCGATCCCCAGCCAGGGAGCTGACTCACATGGCGTGGCAGACCTGTCCTGACCTGCCTGCTGCTACCCTCAGCGGTGTACTTTGTCACTCTGTCTGTTCTGCTCCCCACTCTGTCTCTGGTGAATCCTCTCACCGCCCCTGCACCTTTGGCCTGCACCCCAGTTCTGTAAGCATAAATAAATAAATCTTTGAAAAAATTGGCCCTCCCTGGTGGCTCAGCAGGTTAAAGCACAGCATTGAGAAACTAAAGCCACTTCCGCATGAGTTCGATTCCTGCCTGCCCCGGAGGTGACCACATGGCGCCACAGACCTCTCCTGACCCGCCTGCTGCTCCCCTCAGCAGTGTGCTTCGTTGATCGGCCTGTTCTGCTCCCCACTCTGTCTCTGGTGAAGCCGCTCACCGCCCCTGAGCCTCTGGCCTGTGCCCCGGTTCTATATGCACAAATAAATAAATCTTAAAAAAAAAAAGCAAACAGATTCCCCTACTTTAAAAAAAAAATTAACAGGAGACAAAGGAAGTTATTATATGGTGATAAGTGGTTAATTCAGACTTAACAGCTAATATATTGAGCAAATATTAACAGATTTTGAAACAGAAATAGAAACAATAATAGTAGGGAAGTTTAATAACTCCACATTAACAATTAATAAAAATCATGTAGACAGAAAATAGTGTGGAAATATTGGATCTGAATTATGCTTCATAAAATGGACCTAACAGACATATAAAGGCCATTACATCCACAACAGGAGAACATATATTCTTCTCAAGTGCACACAGAAAGTTCTCCAGGATAGATCATGTATTTGGTCATAAAACAAGTTTTAATAAGCTTAAGATTGAAGTTATATAAAATATATTTACCAATCACAATAGCATGAAACTAGAAACCAACTAACAGGAAAGAGACTGAGAAATTGACAGATATGTGGAAATTATAAAAAATAACACATAAAAAAATAACACATACTCTTGAATAATGAATAGGTCAAAGAAGATATGACACAAGAAAAGAAAAACATGAAATGAGTGAAAATGGAAGCACACCTCATCAAAACACATGGAAGGCAGCAAAAGCAAGGATGACTGGGAAGACTGTTTATGCAAATGTT